GCAGGAATGTAAAATGACAAAACAAGAATGGTTATGTTTGCTTATTGACAGAAAAAATTCCTAATAAGTTCTCATTTTCCAAACTTTATATACTGATGTTGCCCAAGTGTTCTTTAAAAATATGAATCAGAACCAAATAACCTTACATTGAAAACTGAATTGATTTCCTCCTCCTTCAGATATGTTTAAAGACAGATTTAATAGATTTCATCACACATGAACATTCACTGTCTACCTACTTTCTCGATATTGATTCTTCTCAAATTTCCAGATGATTACTGCACTTGAATCATGTTTCTTAAACCTAAACAAGTGAAAAAGAAATAGGAGATATTAACCAAAGCAATTCATTCCACAAAAATAATGGTTAACTTACAACTCTTTGTCATCCCTGACATGAGGCTGGAGGCAGAAAAGACCTTTTTTCTGGGCCCTAATTTCCTCAAAGTGCTTTCATCCTTCCACATTAAAAAAAGACACTGAAAATCCAGTATCTAGTTAAGAAATTCAAAGTAGTATCAGGCATTACATCTGCCCTTGAGCTTCCCCCAAAATACTTATGATTTTATACCCATCTTTTCCTATTTTCAGAATGTTTCTCTTTCCTCTACTGCACAGTAATGTGTTACCAACAATTATAATTGATTACATAGTGGAAACAGTTATACTTCTTATATAGTAAATGCTGTCAAACCACAGCTAGGTAAATGATTACAGACAACTGGAAAAAAATATTTCCCCTATAATATTTTATTTATTGTCACATTGGGTGTGACTTGAAAACATTTACAAGAAGTATTTAAAATTGTGATATGAAAGTGACAGTTTCCTCCCTTTGGGGGATTAAAGACTTGAAACACCTACCTGCTAAGAGTAAAAAAGAATTTCTCTTTGGTGAAAGTGAGGAAGTCTAAGGGAAAAAAAATTAAACTGCATAAATGGGACTTAGGTTCCTACTTCACATTTTCAAAACTTCCCTTGGGCATGTATACACATAAAAGATTCCATTATACCAGTTTAGTGCAGTATAATCCCCATGTTCGTATAAAAGCGCTTATACTGAAACTGTTTAATTCTGGTACAGGAAAAGAAAATTACTATGCTAGTAACAAGGCCAGCACAAAAAGCATGGGCAGCTGCCTAGGGCAGCAAATTGTAGGGGGCAGTGCCCTGAGTCAGCAGGCAACACACATAGGGCACAGACAAGTTATGTTTGTCATGAGATCGACCTAAAAGTGCTCTACAGCCATGCCATGACAGGAGAGGCTTCAGAGAGCTTTTGAAGTGGCCAATCATACGACAAATTAACCTTTATCAAATGAGGGATCAGATGAAGGCTTTTGAGCACCATAGGGAATTTATGTTCCCTAGGATTAATTTGGGGTGTGATCAGGGCTGGGCTGATGCAGCCCATCCCCACTCCCATGGCTGTCTGCAGGAAGGGAGGGGAGAGGGGGCAGAGGAAGTAAGCTGCCAGGTGGGGTTTGCTCGGCCCGAGCAGTCCAACTGTACTGAAAGCCATGCTCAGTAGCGCTGTGCGAGGCTTCAGATCGCACTTGGGATCCGGGGCCACTTCGGACATTTTGGTGTCCGAAGCAGCATGCCCGGAGCGAAGCACGGGCTCAGTTAAGATGTCCAAAGCGGTTCAGAGCTTCCGAAGCACTTCGATGCCTCGAACGCTGAAAGTTAGAAGAGGGAGGGGGAGCGGGAGGGGGAGCGGGGGGGAAGACTGACATATGTAGGTGGCCAGTGAGAAGGATTTCTCTCTGGCTACCTTTCCAATGACAGTGTCTGGGGGGAGGGATCTAGATACACCATTAAAGCCTCTGTTTGGAGGCATGGTGTGCCTTTTCCTAGCTTGTTCCCTCTCAGGAACTGCGTGAGAAAGGAACCCTCAGACTCAAGCATTTCAGCTTGCTTGCTGTACTCAGCAGTTGAACCTGCCTGCTCCTTTTTGTTGTTAGAAAGGATTGGGTAGGATTTAGCTTATCTTATCTTAGCTATTCAATTACTATTACTATTCAATTCATTTCTTTGAATTTGTATTTGCTCTTTTTTTTTTGTTGGAAACTGTGAAAAAAGAAAGCTGTTTTTCCTGCCAGTGTAATCCATCACTGTGCAGGGAGGCACACAGATTGCATGCATGCACACACACACACATACACACACAATATAAAGAAAAATCAGATATTCATAGGAGAAGAAGACAGACAGAGAGACAGACAGCACACAATTTTTACATAACTCTTAACCCTAAAGCAAACAATCAAAGAAGAGTCCAGTGCATGCACGCAACAGAGCGAATAAAACACACAATACAAAAGGATTGACACGCACAGAGACCTTTTGCAGCACAGGAAAGATCAATATGAAGTGTGCTGGAAGGGCAGGTGCCAGGTCTTCTGGCAGGGGAGGGAGTGGGAGTAGGGGGAGAGCTAGAGCTGCAAGTTCCCCACCCCCAAACATAGACATTCCCTTCCCAAGCAGCCATGACATTAGTGCTGACAGTTGAAGCAAGGAGGTGGGAGCAGTGTCTGCACCTGACGTCCCTGAACCTGCACCACCTCCGCTCAGTCCAGAAGTAGGCACCAGCAGTGGAATCACTGCCTCCTCCACCCTGAATTTCATCTCTCAGCGTAAGGATCCCGCTACTAGAGGAGGAGCTGGAGCTGGAACCAGGGATGCTGAGCGCGCTGGCTCAAGCAATTCTGGGGACTGAGGGGAAATCAGAGTTTGTGCTCCACACCCCTCAAATTTCCCCTAGACGCAGGCCTCCTCCAGAAAGCAGCACCTCTAAAAAGTGGTTTGCATTGTAATTTGTTCCCTCTCAGGATCAGGCCTGAGAGACTGGAGGCAGAATGTTTTTTCGTGAGGAATGTGCCCCCACAGGTAGTTGGGTTTTGTTGTTTTTGATAAGATTCTGGGTGTGCGGTTTGTGGGGGTACTGGAGATAGTTGGCAGGTTTTGTGTTTTGAGCTGTAGGAAGTTGACTTCAGTTCCGGTGATGAGGTTAGGTGCTTGTTCGAATGTACAAACCACTTTTCAGAGCTGGGCCTATGAACTGCACTTCATCAGCCTCCTAGGTAGTAGGTACAGACACTCATGGGCTCAATATACACAGTGGAATGCTGGCACCCTGAGACCTGCCAGACATCTGACACCCCAGACACCTCTGCACTTTACCTGCGCTGCTACATCCCCCTTTTCCCCCTACCCCCCACCCCAGCCTGTCCCTCCGCCCCTGATGCCTCCATTTCCATTTTCACTGACTGGCTTTCTTGCCTGCATTGCAGGCCACGCCAGGCCCTGGCT